GTCTTATTAGTATTATTACTCTTATTGTTATTATTATTATTCTTATTATTCTTCTTATTCTTATTATTATTCTTATTCTTCTTCTTATTATTATTATTCGTCTTCTTCTTATTCTTCTTCTTAGTAATATTATTCTTAGTATTATTCTTATTATTCTTCTTATTATTATTATAATTATTTTTCTTATTCTTCTTATTCTTATTATTCTTCTTCTTCTTCTTCTTCCTCCTCCTCCTCCTCCTCCTCCTCCTCCTCCTCCTCCGCCTCCTCCTCCTCCTCCTCCTCCTCCTCCTCCTCCTCCTCCTCCTCCTCCTCCTCTTCCTCCTTCTCCTCGCTGCATATCCCAGGTATCCCGTTGGAAACAAGGATACCACCAGACAGCTGCGCGCGCGCTGTCAAACAGACGCGCAACGAAAGCTGTACCCAAGCCTTCTCAGCGAGATGGGGAGGTTAGCTCCCCGCTGTGCGAATCAAAACGTCGCGAAGCAAACTGGGGACCTCACACGAGCCTACCTCCCTGTACACCCCAATACCCGTCGAGGGCTATAGCGTATATGGATCCAAGAAGCGGCCAAGATGGCACAGTGGGGGCAGCAGGAACACAGGGCGGCTGGCCGCACCGGTGCGGCTGCACGGCTGCGGCCGCTGCCGTCTGGCGCCGCGGGTTGCTACGCGAGTTTGGCCCTGAACCTCCCAAGACAACATCGTAAGACTGATCGTTCTTCGCTGCTCGCGTGCAACTCAATATGAATGTCTACCCACAAACACTAGATACCTGCTCTCGTCGTCTTCGATCGTACCCCCGTTCAGGGTATGTCTTCCTTGCTTGCCGCGGGTAGCTGGCGCAGCCCCTAAATAGGAAGACAAGGGAGCACGATCGCCAGTTTTGAATAAAATTTGCGTGGCGCCGAAACGACAGCGACATTTTCGCCCGCTCGCACGTCGAAAAATTCGCGTCCGAAAAATATTCGCCGCACCCGGGCTTGAGCTCAATTCTATAGAAAAATGAGCGTGGCGCCGACGCGAAAGCGACAATTCAGCCCCTCGCGTTGCATGCGCCCCGCGTCCCATTCCGGCCACGCATTTTGCAACATGGGCGACACCATGTCCATGCTGAAGCGGAAAACATTGATTGCGTATTGTTTTGGGACAAATAGGATGAGATCTGCCCGACCCGACCAACATCGGCCGGTCATGTGGCAAATTCACCGTGCATACCAATATGGGCGAAGGAAATGAATAGGAGCGCGGTAAAATAGAGCAGAGTAGATGGTAGAGGTCGAGTAGAATTGAACCAAAGAGATCCGAGTGAGAGTAAAAGATGATGTCCGCATGGGTGACAGTAGGAGCGAGGGCAGGAGTCGGACTAGGAATACGGTCATGTCAGCCAGGTCGAGCGAGTCAGAGGGCCCCGCCCAACCCCACCCTCACTAGGGCTCCCAACTTCGCGCTTCGCGCTCCGCGAAGCGCGAAACGCGAATAACTTCGCGCTCTCGCGCCCCCCCCCCAAAGGGAGAAAAGGAGGACGAGGAGGAGGGGGAGAAGGAGCGAGGACCGCGAAGCGCGAAGCGCGAATAACTTCGCGCCCTCGTGGGAGCCCTTGCCCTCACTGCTGCAACATAAGACAGAATTGTGGCACAACTTGATGTTGGAATTGGAGCGCGCTCCCACCTCGCCAACGGAAGGCGCTCGCGCGCCGCCGCGCGCCCGAGGACCGAGCGGAGGGGAAACTGCGCGGGCCGCGCAGGTGCGGACGGCAGACCTTCCGATGGGCGTGGCGACGACGAAGCATGAGCGGCGCTGACACGACACTGTCGCTTTCACTCGCGTGCGCCGCGGCGCTTCGTCGCCCGCGCTCACGCGGTCCGGCGGCCGGCGTCGCGTTCCTGCGATTCGGCGAACGAGCCATTGCGCCACGCCTGCGCGGAGGCCACTTCCGAGTGGAATGCGCGCGGGGCTTCGGCAAGGGCGACGAGTCGCCAACTCGCGCGGGCCCCGCACACTGACGGATGACGAATATGCCCCACACCGCGCCGGGAACTGCGAGGCCCTGGTGGGCACGTTGAGTTGCCCTGCAGAACCGACGGCTGGAACTCGGTCGCAGACCTCGCGCTGCACTGCTCTCGACCTGCAAACAGGCGCGCGCGCGACGACTCTGAGCCTTACAGCCTGCGCGACAGGAAGGAAGGACTAGGAACGCATGCGATGCCCACCCGCGCCACGCGCGCGACATTCACGCAACGTCTGTCAAGGGCGATGTTTCTCACCCCCCCAACGCGTCGCCGTGGCACTCTCGGCCAGGGCTTCAGTGGCGCGCCAGCCTGGCGCCACTCAAGTCCTCCAGTTCGGCCAGCAGATTCGGCCCCTCGAGGAGGTAGGCCTTCAGGTCGGCCACCGCCCGGCGACGCGGGAAGGGCTCCCCCGCCGAGAGCCAGCGAGCCCCGGGCGACGAGAGCCGCGCCCGACGCGCACGCCGGGGCGGTCGTCTGGGGCCCCCTCCTCGACCCAGCCGCGCACGGGCTCCCATCCCAGCTTGCTGGCCAGACGCCGTCGGGAAGGCGGAGTCGGCGCGCCCTTCCCGATCTCCTCGCGAGCCTCCAGCTGGCGAAGACGAGGGCGCGGGGCACGCAGCAGGCGCCGGTGGCTGCGCCGAACCACGCCCACCGCGGAGGTCCCACCCACGGGCCCGACCGCCGACGCAGCGCGCGCGAGACCTGCGCCTGCAGCCAGGCGCCCCCGAGGCCATGCACGCAGAGGCAGCACTTCAGATCCTCGGCACTCCAGGGCAGCACCTCTCCCGAGCGCAGGATCAGGGTCTTCCACGCGTCGCCGCTCGGGAGAAGCGGCGCGCCCAGATCTGTGGCGCGCTGCGCGGCGTTGGAGGGGATGCTGTTCATCGCGAGGCGCCGCGGCGACTCACGCCCATTCGGCGAGCAAACTTTCTGCGAAAATGAGGGCTGTCCTTGGGCGTCTTGGGGGCCCCCCGGGAAGCCGGGAGGCGCGGTACCGGCCAGATGTCAGGGGATGTGTGGGATCTCCGAGTAGGAGTCCACTCTGAAGAACAAAAAAAGAGGGGGGTACCTGGAGCCTCTTCGGCAGTTTTGGGAGTTTCTTGGCCCGTATTGGACCCGTCCTGGGAATCTTTTGGGCGGTCTTGGGGCGGTCTTGGGGCGGTCTTGGACCGTTGGAAGCTCGAAAACGCGAGAAGGCCAAACACATCGAACAAAAACAATCAAAATCGACGATTTTGACCTCTTCGGGCTTTCCCGGGACGCCTCTCGGACCTCTCTTGGGGCCGTCTGGAAGCCTCCTGGAGGCCTGGAAAGCCGTCGAAAGGGTGTCTCGGGCTGCGCGGGAGCGTGTTGGGCCGTTCTTTACGTTCTGGGGGCTCCTTGGGGTCGTCTTGGGCTGTCCTTGGGCGTCTTGGAGTCTCCCCCTGGGGAGCCAGGAGGCGCGGTACCACCAGCCAGATGTCAGGGGATGTGTAGGACCCCCGAGTAGGAGTCCCACTTTGAAAAAAAGGAGGAGAAATTCTAGGAATTCCCTTTCTTCTCAAAATCCTCGATCTTCGAGGGTTGGAGATGGGAAAACGTGAGAAAGCGAAAAACATTAGAAAAACAATGGGAAATCAACGACTTTACCCTCTTTGGGCTCTCTCGAGACGGCTCGCGCAGCTCTCTTGGGCTGTTCTTGGAGCCTCGTCCGGGTCTTTTTTGGGGGCCTCCCAAGGATCAGGGGTATGTTGGAGCCCTCTGGGGGGTCCCAAAGGCCTCTTGGAGGTCTCTGGAAGCCTCCTGCTCCCGCTCTTGGGCCCATCTTGGGCCTGTTCTGGGGTGGTCTGGGGCTGTCCTGGGCGCCTCGTCGGCAGTCTTGGAGCCTTCTTGGCCCGTCTTGGGGCCGTCCTGAGGGTCTCTTGGGTGGTCTTGGGGCGGTCTTGGGAGCCTCTTCGGCGCTAGTGGACCGTTGGAAGCTCGAAAACGCGAGAAGCCAAAAACATCGAACAAACAAATGAAAATCTACTATTTTGGCCTCTTCGGGCCGTCCCGGGACGCCTCTCGGACCTCTCTTGGGGTCTCTTGGAGGTTACCTGGGAGCCTCGAGAGCCGTCGGAAGGCTGACTTGGGCTGCTTGGGAGCGTCTTGGACCATCCTTTCACATTCTGGGCGCTCCTGGGAGTCGTCTTGGGCCCTCCTGGAGCGCTGTGGAGGCTCCCCAGAACGCTCGGGGGAGCGGTACCGGGAGCGTCCCCGAGATGTGGCGGGGAGGTGTGGCATCCGGGGCCGGGGGGGCGGTACTTATTCATATCATTGGTATTACGATTCGTACTATTATTATTGATGTTGGCATTATTATTAGTGATATTATGACTAGTATTAAGTGTTGTTTTAGTAGTATATATACATATATATACACACATACATGCATGCATGCATGCATGCATACGTACGTACATACATACATACATACATACATACATACATACATACATACATACATACATACATATATACATACATACATACATGCATACATGCATACATGCATACATGCATACATGCATACATGCATACATACATACATGCATACATGCATACATGCATATATGCATACATGCATACATGCATACTTGCATACTTGCATACATGCATACATGCATACATGCATGCATACATGCATACATGCATACATGCATACATGCATACATGCATACATACATACATACATACATACATACTTACATACATACATACACACATATCTATAGCACTATCTCTCTCTCTCTCTTCCTCTCGTTCTCGCTTTCTCTCTCTCTCTCTCTCTCTCTCCTTCTCTCTCTCACTCATATATACATACACATGTATGTTGCTGTATGTTTGTGGTTATGCACATACATATATATATATATATACACATATGTGTGTATAGTTCATTCGGGATGTATGAACGTGTCCACATAGCTCTGCCTCCTTTACCCTGAAAAACTGCTTCTCCCGAGTTTTCCCTTTCCGAAGACGGCCACGCCGCACGTGCATGCCCAGGTTGTCCACGGCACCGTGCTTCTACGCTCGCCGGCCGCGGCACGGCGAGGGCGCGCACTTTCTCCCAGCGACGCTGCAGGGCCCGAGCCCGTGCCCCTGGAGGCGGAGGGCTCCCGCTCGAGTCGCCCGCTCGCCGCGCCGCGGGCTCAGGCCGCGGCGGCGCCCCGCGCTGGCGCGGGCGCGCCGAAAAGAGGGGGCGGGGCCCGAGGCACGAGGCACGAAGGGGAAGGCCCGAAAAGGGGGGCCCGAAGAGGGGGGGGGGGCCCGAGGGGGGGGGCCAGGAAGGTGGGGGGGGGGGAGTCGGGGCCCGAGGCGCGCGCAGGGACGAGCGGGGCCAGGGAGCGTGCCGAAGGGCGACCGGGAGGCCGCGAAGTCGGGGAGATGCCATGGCCCCAGCAGTGATGTCCGCACGCGCACGCACACACACACACACACACACACACACGCACACACACACACACACGCACACACAAACACACACTTTTTTGATTCGCGGGTCGAGAGCGCCCCTCTTCCGGTCGAAGCTAAGCGGGCCGCGCGAAGCTTGAATTAACAAAGAGGGGAAGGAAGGGGGGGAGAGCGCCACACACACACACACACACACCTACAGTGGACGTGCACGATAAGAAATCATGTGTCCAATAACGCAGCGTTGAGGACCGCTTCACCAACCGTTCACTCCCAATCATACGAGCACCTCGCGGTTACGCCACAGCGTGGTCCCACAATTGGGCAGTGTGCAGCCCCCCCGATGAGAACTGAGAACGGGGCTCCGAAACTCAAAAGCAAGTCGCTCCCTCGTTCTGACGACTCCTGGCCAGACACAGGTCGCGTCGCACAGATGATCCCAAGATAGCCTTAAAGAGCATCAAGTGTATAGGCGATCGCAGAGAAATCTAAAAAAGCAGCAGCATCGGTCTACATATAGGAAACAACGGTGGGATCACGTTGACATACTCCCTTAGCTCCTCAGCGAACTCTTGACTGAACAATGAAATCGTGTGGCCTTGTACGATAAGGCATGCCGCTGCAAGAAACCGAGGGGCATGTCAGTCGAGGATTTCTGAGCTTCCAGGGATGCCCCGAAGCTTCTGCGGGTCCCCAGGGTCCTCGGGGGATCAGAAACGCCCGCGAGGCACGCTTCTTACTCGACGTGCCCGCTGTGTTCCTCACCCCCTCTTGGGTGCCTCCGACTGGTGCCGAGGGCGAGGAGAGGCAGACGATGTCCGCGGCGCCGTCCAAGGGGATCGCGGACGACAGGCGAACCTTGCAGAGCACCGTGGCGGGGGCACCCGCGGGCATGGAACACTCGCAGACGACGGTGCCATCCCCCGACGGCAAGGTCTCGTCCACCCTGCCGAGCGGGCGCACGCCTGGGGCGAGGAGATCGAGGCATGTCCGCTGCCCCGAGCCTGGTCCATCCCCAAGTCCCCGAAGGCAGGACTTTCTCAAGACTGGCTTCGACCCCTGGGGCCCGTTCGGGGACCCTGGGGCCATCAGACATTGGCCCGGATCGAAGCCACCCCGGGGGTGACGTGGTCGGGACAACTCGGGGCCACGCACTGGCAAAATCGCGTCGTCGGAAGTCTGGGTCCCTGGGCCCAACAGCGGTGCATGTGCCTCCTGGCCGTGCCGGGACGGCGCATACGCCGCTCCTGGGCCCAGGATGGGCCAGGCCTGGGGCATTGCGTACCCCGAGGTTCATAATAAGCGTCGGGGGGGCGTCACCCCCGCCGACAGCCCCACATCGACCCCCGTCGCGGGCAGGCACCGCGCGCCGAAGGCGCTCCGACCCCCGTCGCGGCGCGACGACGAGGCGAGGTTGACCCCCGTCGAAGGGGTACCCCCCCACGCTTATCAAGAAACCCAGAGTATGTGTAGACTTCGTCGCCCTAACACCGATGTCGCCCGCGCCCTCGCCGTCGGCCAGCTCCTCCACCTGCAGCGACACCTGGCGGCTGCAAGCAGGAGCGACCCCACGCAAAAGTGACCCGCTGGCGCGCGGCCGAACAGGGCCGCCGATCTGTTTTGTTCAATCCGCGACCCCGAGAATCCCGACCGCTTCCGCGGGTTTAGTTATTCGTCCTGGATCTGGACCCATGTCTGATGGTCCTGAGGGCCAAACCACGGCCCCCGAGGGCCGGTATCAACGAAAAAACGCCCGCTGACAAAATCCGCCGACCCCTTCTGGGGTCATCGGCGTGCGAGATACTGCCCCTGTGCTCGCGAAGCTGACGGGGACCACCTGGGCCGCCACTCCAGGCTTGGGGAAGTCGACTCCTGTTAATAAACAAAAAATGTCCACAGGAGCCCCTGGGCAACCTCACCCAGCCCAGCGTGCCCCGAAAATCGCCCTCGGCGGATGTGGCATGAGCCTATGGAATCCACGTCCGGAAGTGACGTGCTGAGCGGCCGCGTTTTTCGGCGGACGCCTCAATGCAACGTATCCCAAGTATCCAAGGATTGCATAACAGAAAAAAGACATGCAAATCTGTGATTTGGGCCCCTTGAACCTCTTGGGGGTCCTGGAGGGCCTCAAGACGCCTCAAGCGTGTCTCGAGACGGGCCGAGACGGCCCCATGACGGTCCCAAGAAAGCCCAAAAGTCCAGAAGACGGCCCCTGAGGGCCCCAAGGAGGCCCCCAAGAGCCCCCCCAGATGCCAAAATCCTTAATTCCCCATAAGTTGCTTCAAGGATTTTAGCGATCTCGCCCTTTTCGACCATGACGGCCCAAGTAGCCTCCGAGATGGCCCCAAGACGGCCCCATAAGCCCCGAAGAGGGCCCCAAGACGGCCCAAAAGAGCCCCTCATATGGCCGAAAGAGGCCCCAAGATGGTTCAAGAGGCTCCCAAGACAGCCCAAGAGGACTCCAAGAGAGCCCCAAGGCAAAGCGCCCCAGGACGGCCCAAGAGGCCCCCAAGAAGAAGCCTTAAAAAGGCCTCCACGAGGCCCCCTGGGGTCTGGGCCCCCAAAAAGCCCCCAAGAGGTTCGCAAAAAGGCCCCACAACTACTGGATTTCACGTGCTCCCGACGCGCACCTCGCAAAGCCAGAGGAATCCACGTCCGCAGGTGACGTGCTGAGCGGCAGCGTTTCCCGCGAATGCAGTGATCCAACGTATCCTGAATATCAAATCATTGCATAAGTACTACATGTCGTATTGATGCCCATGATAATGTAACCCCCATACCCCCCCAGAAGCCACGCCACTTCTGCCCACTGAAACATGCAAAATCCCTTTCGGGACCCAAATCCTACAAAAAAACTAAAGAGTGGCCCTTGGGCCTCTCGGGGGTCTGAGAAGGCGCCAACCGACGACCCTTTGTGGGTCTCTAGGCGCGTGAGATTCTTCCCCCCCCCATACCCCCCCCCCCCAAGTGACCCCAAACTACCAATTCGACCCCCCCCCCCCGGGGCCCGGCCAGACCCCGGACCAAACGCGTCACAGGGCTCCAAAACTCGTCTAAAAGTTACCAAAACTCGCCAAAAGGGTACCAAAACGCTCCCCGGCAGTCCCGGGGACCACGATTCGCCAACATAGCGCCCCCAGACGTCCAGGCGGTCTCCGAAGCTGCCAAGACGCCCCAAAAAGGCCCCTAAGATGCGCCCCGAGAGGGTCGCAAGAAACAAAAATCGGCTCGTCTCCTTCGAAAAACCACGCATTACTCCGCACGCTCGCCTACTCGGCAATCACAACGTCCACAACAAGCAAAGAAACCTGCAACATCGCTCCCAGACGGCCAAAATGGCCCCAAAGCAGGGTCGCCGAGGGTCCAACACAGCCCACGAAGTCCCCAAGACAGCCCAAGAGGGCTCCCAGCCTGCTCCAAGAACATCCCAAAAGGGCATGCGGGACCTCCCAGAAAACCTCCGAGGCCTCCAAGAAGCCACGAGAAAGTCCACAAGAGGCCCAAAACTACATGCAAGACGACCCCGTCAGGCCTCGCACGAGATCTTCTTCACCATCCGTGCGGCCGCCTACCTGTATACCGCGCAAGGTGGCGAGATGCGCCGCGTCCCATTCGACAACGACTCGTCCAGTTTTTGGACCGCCGCATGCCGTCTATGGGCGCGGGTGTTGACAGGCATTTTCCCCAAATCGTCACTCCTCCTTCTCCTCCTCCTCCTCCTCCTCCTCCTCCTCCTCCTCCTCCTCCTCCGATGACCCTCCTCAGCCACTCCCCCATCCTCCCCCTCTTCCTCCTCCTCCTCCGCTTTCTCCTGTTTGGTACCATATCACCATCTCCGCGTCTCACCATCAACACCATCACCACCAGCATCATCATCGCCATCACCCGCACCATGACCACCGCCATCGCCATCACCATCACCACGGATCACCATCACACCCGCCACGGATCACTGCCTTGTCGCGTGACTGGACGCGTGTGATGCAACCCGCATCCGCCAACCCCATTCGGGGCCTCCAAACGTGTAAGATTCGTCCCGTGAACGGCCCCACATGCCCCCGGACTCGCTTGGGGATGGCCTCGAAGAGCCTCGAGCCCGCCCACCCAAAGAAACAAGACAACACAAGTACGTTCCAGGACAGCAACACGACATCCCCAAGACGATCAAGGGGTCGGCGGATGTGGCGTAAGCCTATAGAATGTATGATTTGGGCCCTTGGGCCTCTCGGGGGTCTGAAAAGGCGCCCAGACGGCTCAAGCTGGCCTCTGCACGGGGCCAAACGGCCCCAAGACAGACCAAGATGGCCCCAAGAGGGTCCAAAAAGCCACCAAGACGGCCCAACGAGGACGCCAAAACGGTTCAAGAGGCCTCCAAGACGGCCCAAGAGGACTCTCAGAGAGCTCCAGGGCGACCCCGAGAGGTCTCCCAGACGGCCTCCGAAGGGGCCAGACGGTACAAGAGCGCCCCACGACGGCCCAAGGCGCCCCCAAGAGGCCCCAAGAGGCCCCAAAGATACCCCAGCAGGCCCCAGAGTCTGTTTTGTTTGATAAAATACGTGTGCATATACGCGTAAATATATCTATATATATATATATATATAGATATACATATATATGTACATATATACATATATATGTACATATATATGTACATATATATATATATATATACACACATACTGGGGGAGAAAGGCCCCCGTAATTGTATACGCAGAGCGCTTTGGTGCTATGCTCATCTGAATTTGAACTTCGCGTTGCCTTGTGCTGACACGCGGTGAATGCTCAATGCTTCGTGGACATCCGCATGCTCGCCCCAGCGCTGGAACGGGAGGGCCACATCCGCCCCCGAAGCATTGGCAGCGCGCCGGGGTGTGCAGAACGACGCGGCAGAACAGCGCGGCAGACGAGCAGGGCAGACCATCCAACACCCAGTCTTGATCCCCAAGGCGGCCCCGAGAGGCCCTCAAGACGGCCTTCGAAGGGGCCAGACGGCGCAAGAGCGCTCCAAGACGGCCAACGAGGCTCCCAAGAGGCTCCAAGCCCCAAAGAGGCCCCCAAGAAGCCCCCAAGGGCCTGCAAGAAGCCTTCAAGAGGCCCCCAAGAAGCCCCCAGACGAACCCACGAAACCACCAAGACACCCCCGCGGAATCATATCAATGGCGCGTTGTTGCTATGTCCATCTGAGTTTGAACTTGGCATTGCCTTGTGTGTTGACACGCGGTGAATGCCTACTGCTTTCATGGAGCTTCACACGCTCGTCCTGGCCCTGAAACGGGGGGGCGGGGGGGAGGGACGCACCCGCCTCCAGAGGCACTGGCTGCGCCCCCGGGGCGGGCAGAACGACACGGCAGAACTCCGCGACAGACGAGCAAGTCAAACCACCCAACGCCCAGTCTTTCCGCGATCCGGACGTGCACCCCGCGAAGCATAGAAGAACAAGAATAAATATAAAAAACTTCAACTTCTGGCGCTCCGCGCGGATTTCTTGGATCCGCGCCAGGGGCGGCGCCGGAAGTCCGCGCGAGGCGCCAAAAAGGTTATGTTTATATGGCTTTTTCTTCTTCGGAAGCAAGGAGAAGTCACCCTGGCAGTGCAGCTTCCCAGCAGTTGCCGTCAGCCCCCTTCCACTCGCCGGCCTGGCCGCCGAGGTGCCGCGTGAGGCTTCGGCCCACCGCTTTAGGTTCACTCGTCCTTGCGCGGCCCGCTCTGACTGGACTCGCCGCTGGCGCTCTCGCCTGCGGCCGCTGACCAAAAAGCAAGGAGGAGCAGATCGCCGGAAATCCGGGCTCTGACGTGCAGCCGGCACCTGGAGCTCCTGCGGCGCGGAGCCCCCAGGCGGGCCGCCCCACACGCGGAGCCCGGCCCGCGCGGCCAGCGCGGCCGCGCCCGCGCCCGGGGCGGCCTCGAGGCCGAGCGCGACCTCGAAGCGGAGCTGCGGGTACTCTGGCGGGCGAGCCACAGCCGAGGGCGGGGCTGCCAAGCTCCTCCTCCTCCTCCTCCTCCTCCTCCTCCTCCTCCTCCTCCTTCTCCTGCTCCTCCTCCTCCTCCTCCTCCTCCTCCTCCGCCTCCTCCTCCTCCTCCTCACATCGGGTGGCGAGCCAGGGGGGGAAGGACGGGGGGGAGGGAGGGAAGGAAAGGGAGGGGGGGGAGGGAGGGGAGAGACGAGATGGAGGGGAGAAAGAGGGAGGAGGGGAGGGGAGGAGGAGCTCACCCGGGACGCAGAAGGACCGAGTGCTGCGTGTCCTCCTCGGAGGCGTGCGTCCGACACGAAACATATGGTACATCCATCCTGTAACGGAGATTTCCCGAGCGGTATGGCCAGAAAGCGCCCGCCACAGGGTTCGGAAGTCCCCCGGACTTCCCCGCCGCCTTCTGAGAAAGCCTTCGCCTTCCCATTTCCCCCCCTCGCTCGCCGCCGACACCTGGGACGCAGCAGGACCTAGTACTACGTGTCCTCCTCGGAGGCGCGCGTCCGACCCGAACACATGATACATCCATCCTATGACAGAGAGTCTCCCAATCGGTACGGCCAGAAAGCGCCCGCCACGGAGCATGTGCTATAACATTTCTCGGCGCCCGCGTCGCCCCTTCGGGTGCGACGCACACATAGTAGTAGTCTCATTGTGTGGCGCCGATGAACCCACGCTTGGAGAGGCCCATCAGGTTCGACGCCCTACATCCTCGAGAAATCGTCGATACGATGGGTACCCCCAGGAGAGTTCGGACGTTGACCCACCTGGCTCAGCGCAAGCCCGGCTCAGCCAATGAAGAAAAAACGGCGCTGGAGTTTGGGGGGGCTTCCAAGGCTCAGCCCATGTGCAAGGCCACCTCGAGGGCCGCGAGCAGCTCTCGAACCTGGCCCTGCCAAAGTCCGGCACGGCAGGATCCAGCAGGACCTGGCGCTCTAGCTGAGCCGTGCTTGCGCTGAACCCCGCTACCTGTAAGTCGGGCTTGTCCTCCTGCAGGGGGGTTTTGGACGAAGAATGAGACATAATAAAAAGATACCCTAATAATTCGTCCCCGGACTATTTCTACTATTCTTGGATATTCCTCCCGTAGAGGGACAGGCCCGACTTCAGGCTACCTCCGGCTTAAGGGTAAGGAGCACAGCTCCCCCGGTTGCGGCTGGCCGGTCTGGCAGCACGAACCTGGCGGCGGTGCAGCAGCCGCCGCCGCCGAGGCGGCAGGCGGAGACGTCCACCCCGCGGATGGTCCACTCCACGGCACGCTGCCTCCTAGGTCCGCCGCCGCACCTGCGGCGCGTGCGTGCATCGCTGGAAAGCCCAGTGGTTCCGCGAGCCGATGGCATGCCGATGATCACCGATGATCGCCATTGGTTTAGGAGCAAATGGATAAGGAACCCAGTATCTGGAAGCAAGCAAAATCACCGATGGCATGCCCTACGGAGAGGGCATTGGGTAAGGAACAAATGGATAAGAAATCCAGTGCCTGGAAGCCAGCAAAACTCAAACTGTGAATGGGCCATGGATATCACCGCCGCCCTCATCAGATAGGAATCCTCCAGGATCTGAAGCCTGCTGGGCACAGTCCTTATCCATCGCCCCCACTCTTGCAAGCTTTCTCAGGCCAGCGATGAGAGGCAAAATGCAGCAACTCCTTCGCGCGTGGGCGTGGTGGTCGACGCGCGGCCTGGCTCGTCGCGCAAGGGCAGCTCGTAGCAGGGTTCCCGCCGCCCGGGGCGCGCTTCGCTCCGCCGTGGGTCCAGAATGTGCGCCCCGAGGGGCCCGCAAACGCCGCAGCGCGCCCCGACGCGCCGAAGACGGCCCCAGGCGCGCCCCAGCGCGCCCGAGAAGCGGGCAGACGAGGCTCAAAGATGGTTTCGCGCAGTGCACCCCAGCGACAGACAGCATCAGGTGGCACAGGTTATTGATCTTCTTGAGGCACTCATCGCTCTTTGGCTTCGGAAGGTCTCCAGGTGGGCCACAAGTCCATCCACTGATGTCCAAACCGCTCCCAGAATACGTCCAGACGGCCCAAAAGTTCCCCAAGATGGCCCCAAGGCTCCAGCCCAAGACTACAAGACGGCCCAAAAACCCCCGCCCGGCCCCAAGACCCTCCAAGACAGCCCCCCAGACACCCCAAGGAAAACCAAGATGGCCCTGAGCCCCCGAGACAGCCTGAGATAGACCCGAGAAGGCCCCAAGACGGCTCCAAAAGGGCCACTGACGACGAGCCCGCATGACTTGCCACACGCCTGTCGAGGCCAGACGTACCCCCCGAATGCTCGCGGATTGGCAAATTTGCGCACCTGCTTCCCCTTGGGGGCCCGCCGAAACTCCCGCCCCGCGGGCTCCAATAGAGCCACAAGCATGAGCAGCGCGTTCTGTGGGCCCTCCCTCCTCCTCCTCCTCCTCCTCCTCCTTCTTCTCCTCCTCCTCCTCCTCCTCCTCCTCCTCCTCCTCCTCCTCCTCCTCCTCCTCCGTCCCATTCCCCCCATGGTGCTGTGGTGGATCTGCGCGGCAGCGCAACCAGATACTTCGCGGGCGCCCGCTGCACTGGCAGACTGCTCGTGGGCGGCCCAGCCGCGCAGCAGCCTCAGGGCCTCCTTCTCCTCTTGGATGTGCGCCCGCAGCCGCGAGTTCTCCTGCAGTATCACGTGGCGCATGATCTCGATCTCGCGGGACAGGTCCTTGGCCCACTGCGGCGGCACGGCGCCACACCCCGGCGCGGCGCCCCGCGAACTCCTGGGAGAGGGCCCGGCGGCGAGGTGCACCGCGTCCTGGAGCTCCGTGAGGCTCCGCGAGCTGGCGGCACACCGCGAGGACGTCGGGCTGGACGGCGACGAGAGCCCGCGCGCGGTGGCCAGCGGGCTGCCGACTGCCCGCGGCACGCCGTCGACCACCAGCCGGGGCACCACCGCGCCAGAGGAGGTCGTGCGGGGCGGGCGGGCCCCGAGGTGGTGCCACTCGTGCTCCCGGGGCGTCCCCTTGCCCTCGGAGGACCGGGCGGTGTTGCCGCAGCTGCTGCCCGCCGACCGCGCCGAGAGGGGCGCCAGGCCGATCAGGGGCAGGTCGGGGAGGTGGTCCATGGCGGGCCAGCGCGCCCCCGAGGGCAGCGGTGGGCGCAGAGGGCCCGGGCTCGAGCCAGAGCGCGCGGCTCAGATGCTTTGTCGCCGGGCCTGCGACGCGTGCAGGATCAGGGTTGTGTCTGAACGCGCCTCGTCCGCGCAGCTCCAGGTCGACGTGCATATGGAGCCGCGCTGGCATGCAGGCAGGGACTGTGGGCCCCTTCTCCCCCTGCCCGCCCTGTGCCACCTCGTCCCGTCCTCCAGCCCCCTCCTTATTTCTTCCCTTCCCCTCCTCCCCACCAGCTCTCCCCTCATGATCTCCCCACATCATCCTCCTAGCTATCCTCATCCTCATATTGCTTCGCAACCTCCTCCTCCTCCTCGTCCGTCCCCTGCCGCACCACCAGACGTGTCGTCAGGGTGGGCCGGGCGGGTCGCCTGAAGCTTCCCCACCATTTACGTACGATTGGGGTGAAACTTCTGACAATCACACGGACGCCAAGCGGGCCGTTTTCGAAGTGGGGCTCTAGCCGTGGCGACGCGCACACTCGTCCTGAAAAACAACAGCTACATAGATGGAGGGAGAATCGCCTTCAAAATGGGACTCTCGCCTGAGACGTGTTTGAACAAATAATATTTGAATTTTGTCTGTGTGCGGCAGTTACACGGATGGCGGGCGGATGGGACTCTCGCATGATACTATATGTTTGGAACTTGCAGCCAAAACTTTCAAGTTGTTCAACTCCAAACTGCTGGCTGCAAGTTCTAGATATTGAATTGAGGGCGGTTCCTTCTCAACGCGGGGCTGCCATCAAAGACTTCCTCCATTCCCCATACAGTTCTTGCCTAATTTTCATTCACCAAGGGTTCTTACCCAATTCCCCAAGGGTTCCTTACTTCTTCACCAAGGGTTCAGTTTCTTCACCAAGGGTTCATTACCAAATTCCCCAAGGGTTCAGTTTCTTCACCAAAGACTTCCTTCATTCCCCAAGGGTTCTTACTTCTTATTTACCTAACAGCTTTTGCTGATAGGTTTCTAGTGGTGTCAAAAGAAAGCATATGGACTCCACAGGGGGGTCTGGGCGGGTGCCGGGGAGGAGGGCCGGGAACAGAGCCGGGCTCGTTTTAAGCCAACAGTCACACACTTCGTGCTCTTCGACCTCCCAGAACTCCATTCCCGGGCCACATTTGAATAACCGGAGCCAACTGTAGGCCACTTCGTGCTCTTCGACTTCCCAGAACTCCATTCCCGGGCCACATTTTGGATGCCCGGAGCCAACTGTAGGCCACTTCGTGCTCTTCGACTTCCCAGAACTCCATTCCCGGGCCACATTTTGGATGCCCGGAGCCAACTGTAGGCCACTTCGTGGTCTTCGAGTTCCCAGAACTCCATTCCTGGGCATGATTTTGAATGCCCGGAGCCAACTGTAGGCCACTTCGTGTTCTTCGAGTTCCCAGAACTCCATTCCCGGGCCACATTTTGAATGCTGTAGGCCACTTCGTGCTTCGAGTTCCCAGCCATTCCCGGGCCACATTTTGAATGCTGAGACAGGCTGAGGCTGAGGCTGAGCAGGCTGAGGCTGAGGCAGGCTGAGGCTGAGGCCGAGGCTGAAGGCAGACTGAGGCTGAGGCTGAAGCAGGCTGAGGCTGAGGCTGAGGCAGGCTGAGGCTGAGGCAGGCTGAGGCTGAGGCTGAGGCTGAGGCTGAGGCTGAGGGCTGAGGCTGAGGCCAGGCTGAGGCAGACTGAGGCTGAGGCTGAAGCAGGCTGAGGCTGAGGCTGAGGCAGGCTGAGGCTGAGGCTGAGGCAGGCTGATGCTGAGGCAGGCTGAGGCTGAGGCTGAGGCTGATGCAGGCTGAGGCTGAGGCAGGCTGAGGCGAGGCTGAAGGCAGACTGAGGCTGAGGCTGAAGCAGGCTGAGGCTGAGGCTGAGGCAGGCTGAGGCTGAGGCTGAGGCAGGCTGATGCTGAGGCAGGCTGAGGCTGAGGCTGAGGCTGATGCAGGCTGAGGCTGAGGCAGGCTGAGGCTGAGGCCGAGGCTGAAGGCAGACTGAGGCTGGCTGAAGCAGGCTGAGGCTGAGGCTGAGGCTGAGGCTGAGGCTGAGGCTGAGGCTGAGGCAGGCTGATGCTGAGGCAGGCTGAGGCTGAGGCTGAGGCTGATGCAGGCTGAGGCTGAGGCAGGCTGAGGCTGAGGCCGAGGCTGAAGGCAGACTGAGGCTGAGGCTGAAGCAGGCTGAGGCTGAGGCTGAGGCAGGCTGAGGCTGAGGCAGGCTGAGGCTGAGGCTGAGGCAGGCTGAGGCTGAGGCTGTGACTGCGACTGCCGTTGCCACTGCGACTGTCATCGCGAATGCGACTACGACTGCGAGAACAGCAGAATTCTACAACTGGATTCTCATCCGAATCGTAAGGGGAATGCTTCCAGATATGCTCCTACACATCGCTGTTAGGTTGCTTTGCCGGGATAATTTCTTTCCTAAGGAACTGCGCCTGCGGGCCGCTCTGGCCACCATGTGCCCGCCGTCGCCGCCTCGTGGCCGTCCGTCGCCGCCCGTCGCCTGGGCCTGCGAGCCAGTGAGGCCGCCACTGTCCGCCGCCGCCGCCTCATCGCCGCCCGTCGCCGCCCGTCGCCTGGGACTGCGGGCCGCTCTGGCCGCCATGTGACCGCCGTCGCCGCCTCGTCGCCGCCCGCCGCCGCGTCGCCGCCCGCGTTGCATTGTGTCGCATAACCGCGCCTTGATTTGCCATGTTTTGGATTGTTTCGCACTGCTTCGCATTGACTTGCATTGCTTCGCGTTGCGCTGCACTGTCTTGCGTTGATCTTCGCTCCGCTGCGCCATTGCATTGCAACCGCACTGCTTTGCAATCGTATTGCGCTGCACTGTTTAACGTTGCAAGCAGGTGCACGGCTGGCACACACATACATGCAAGCTGGGGCTGGCACCGACCCCAACAAGTATGTATGTATGTATGTGTAGATGTGTGTATTAGTGTACGGGTATACGTACATACATACTTACATACATTCGCCCATACATACATACACACATGGATACAGACAGACAGACATCCAGGCATATATATATATATATATATATATATATATGTATGCACATACATGTGTATATATATATATACACGTTACATACAAACGTACGTACATGTGCATACGTACACATATGCATTCAGACATGCACGCACGCATGCGTGCACACACACACAAACGCTTACACAGCAAGTACATGCGCACATTCGCACATGGCACACCAGATGACGCGACATAGGTTGCACCGCATAGATGGCACCACGTACAGTGGCCCACGTACGCTGCACCACGCAGAATCCAAACAAAACACTGTTTGGGGTCAACGTCGGCTCGTTCTACCTTGCTCTCTCAATTCGCCACGTTCTCTGTCGCCAGAAGGATGGCGGGCAGTTCTCTTCCACAACTGATGTCCCACATGAATTGCGGGGCCTTTGGGGCTCAGTTTTTCAAGGGGGCGCATCGCGCAGTGAACGAAAATGATTACAAGGATTGAGGAGGAGGAGACATGCGACGGGGCGAATTGCAGCAACGCTGGCACATTTTGAATGTATTGCGCTCTCGTTATCATACCCATGCCTCCGATTCATCACCACCAGCCTCGTCATTAACATCATTAATATAACCTGCATCATGAATGGTTTCCTCCCCGTTTTCGTTACCATTCTCGTCCTCCGTGTGTCCATGCTCTACTTATTCCTCATCCTCCTCCTCGTCCTCGTACGGTCGATTCGTTGACTGATCTAAACCGTACCAAGCAACATCTCGAACCCCCCACCAGCCAGTTTGTGGGGCCGCCTGGGCGGGCGAACTAACTAATTGGGCCGCGTGACATCGAACCCCACCAACTAACTAACTAATTGGGCCGCGTGGCATCGAACCCCACCAACACTTTGGGCCGAGGTGGTCCCTTTACCCTTCCCCCTGGGTCTGCTCTGGACGGGGGGGGGGCGAGCGGTTAGAGCGCCCAAGATGGATGGGATAAGAGTGCGCGGGATCGCTCAAAATGGCTTTCAAAATGCCCCAACAGGCTCCAAGACCGCGCCAAGACGGATCCGAGTGGCCCTAAACCCAACAGCATGCCCCAAATAATCAAAAATTTATCAAAAACGCAAGGACAACTGATGACGGCTTCCAGATGGCCCAAAAGAGCTCCGATTGGGGCCCATGACGGCTCCAAGACAGCCCCAAAAGCGCACGAGAAAGCCACGTGCCCCAAAATGGCCCCAGGAGCCGATGCTGGGACTCCAGAGGGCGGGCCGAATAAAGGACCCCCTCGAAGCTAAAATCGCGGACAACATACCCCCGCAAAACACCCACAATAGCAGCTGAGATGCGAAGGTGTCCAAACACCCTCTACGTGCAAAACACGACGGTGATACTGTTGATGGTGGCCGTGATGACGACGCTGATGACGGTTATGAAAAAAAACCTCATGGGCCCCTCCGAACCAAGAGGAGCATTTCAGTGAACCGCGTGGCCCCTGGAGTCGTTTGGCCCCCTCCAGTTTCTAGGGGGGAAAGAAGACTCCACGGTCACGCCAGGGAGAAGAGGATGAGAGATGATGACGATATTTCTCGGCTCGGCATTCGCGGGGCAGGACGCGCGCCGCCGTCCGAGCAGCGCCGTGAACCTCAGGCAACCCGTGGTCACAGATGCATAAACACAGCAGGCTGAGCAGCACTGTTGTCGCGAGAGCATGGGCGCATCGAGCTGAGCAGCACCGCGATCGCGAACGCTTGGATCGCAGGCTGCAAGGCCCCAAATTCAGAAGGGCCGCAGCGGCCAGTTCATAGTGGCGCGCGCTGTCGCACGTCCCCGCTGCGCGGGTTCGATCTAGGCGACAACGATCGCCTTTGGGGGCCTGCCGCGGGCGCCACGGGGCGCGCGCTGCTTTTGGGGCAGCGATGAAATTGCACGCCCCGGATCCAGGCGCGGCGTTCCGCGCGCCCGCGGTCTTCTGCTACCGCGATCGCGCGACGGGCGCCGCGGCCAGCACGCCTGTCGAGACTGGCCCCCCAGGCCAAGGAGCACCAGAA